TTTTCCATGCAAATGTAAAGAGCTGAGTTTGAATCCCTAGAGCTCAAGGAAAGCTGGGCTCAGGAGCAGCCATTTGTAATCCTAATGCTCTTGGAGCAAGATGGAAAGACAGGACACTCTCCCTAAATATACAGGCCAGCCACTTTGTCATACACAAAAGCAAACAAAGACCCTATCTCAAGGAAGACACCCAAGGCCATGCCCCTCCCCTCCTCTCTCTCAGGAGTATAGTAAAAATGGATCCACAGACTTGGATAAAGTGACTTGATACCCTGATGAGAAATGTTTTCTAGCCTAAGGGCATAAACCATACAAACCTGTATAGGTGTCAGTTTAGATGAATTGAGTGGAATCGTGTGTCTGGTCTTGAAAGAGGAGCAAGGTGCACGTGGTCACTGGTTTAATTTCATTAAAAATGTGATATTTGAGCATATTCGTGAGGAAATGGGAGGTGAGGAGCACACACTTTTATGGAAGAAAGGATGCTCATGTATATATGAATGGCATAGAATTGAAGTGTATGGTAGTTGTTTTTTGTGTGTGCTTTGATGTTCCGTTTATTCTGTGGGTAACGACTCAAATTCTCTTTCCTGAGGTGTAACACGTTTATCTCGATGTCACATTCAATGATGTTTGCCTCGCGTTCTTCTCCTTTGGGATGACCCTCCTTGTCCCCTACTCTGAATCCTCCCTGGACTCTGGAGCATCGTTGCTAAGTTGCAAAAATGGTGTTGATGAGCCACAGCCTCAGAACCCGACTCCAAACAGCACAAGGTAAAAAGAGCTAAGAGTAATGGATGACTAACTGAAGGCTGCCCTGGCAGGGAAGGAAGCAAGCTAGTTCTGGGTGGAAACCTTTGTCTAGAAGCTGCAGGACCTGTGCGTCCCGGTTGCCCTGGCAACACTGCTGTGGCTGGGTCTCTTGGGAGTTCTGGCTGCAGGGACTGAGGGGCTGGGGCGCCTGGAGGCTGCACACTGCTTCATCCTAGTCACCCTCGCTGGAGTCTATGCTGTAAGTGCGGGTTCCTTGTCCGGGGATGAGTGAGAGAGAGGTCCTTGGGGTTCCGGAGGACCGGAGCGGGCGAACCCCCTGGGGCAGCCAGGCACTGTTAGGCTGTGGGGATGGCCAGGCTCATGGATGCATTTGTGCATCTAGAGACCATGAGTGGCCTGGAGCTGGAAAAAGTCAGTTAAGTGAGGGCTCAGAGGCTTGGAAATGAAGTGAGTTTTCGCCAAACCCCCAGGTATTTTGTGTGTACACCTGAAGCGTGGGACATAAACAAAATGTTGTACAGATTGTGTAAATAGTGTGGTTGAGCTAGTTTCCGGGAGGTTTTTTTTTTTTTTTTTCAAGATCGACTGTGTTGACACTGACACCTTTACATGCAGTTGTATGCGTTTAAATTCCAATAACTCAGTAAGGCAGCTCGGAATGCTCAGTTTGTGGAGTCCTTTTCCCCATCAAGTTTATTAAACATAAATGCACGTTTGGAAACAAGAGACAGTAAGTGATGGGGCATCCCCAATGCTCTTCCCTAGCCTTGAAACTGTCCTTTCCCTTTAATACTCCTAAAGCCAGACCTTAGTTGGTTGGTTGGTTTGTTTTTTACAGTTTCCTGTTACATCATAGATTAGGAGAGTCATTTTTCCACCCCTCATTCCTACTTATCACTTCCTCCCCTCTGTCCTAATCGTGTTTGCCTGTGTGTTCCTTGTGCTTCCTCAAGCCTCCGGGACCGAATCTGTGAAACAGTCGTAGAAACGAACTTACAAGTGTTTTTTTTTTTTTTTTCTCTTACATACTTTACCTAGTAACTCCTTACAGTAAGAAAATTCCATAGAAACTAAGGTTTAAAAATTCAGTCATCACCCCTCTACCTGTCTTGTCTATGTGTGTCCTTTTGCAATTGCTGGTGGCCCCCAGCCTGTTCCTGTCTTTGTAGACAGAACTCCATTAACTCAAGAGTTATTTTATAAATTCTGAAGTTGGCTTGGAAGGTATACCATTTCAATCTGAAGGTGAGTGTTAACTATAGAAAACGTTTTCAACCAATAACTATATCCATTTAATCTTGCCCCCAATAGTGTGCTAGTAAAAATCAACATGCATTGTGGCTTTTGCTTTCAAAAAGAGAAAAAGATTAGAGATTGAAACTATACTAACACTTAAAAGCCTGCTGCATGCCAGAGAATGGGCTATGGATGGGAGTACAGGGTAATAAGCAGTTTAAAGGCTGGAGTGGGGGTGGGGTGTGTGTTGGAAGCATCCTGTGTGTTCAGAAAAGAGCCTGCCATGGGGACTGGGATTTGAGTTGAACTGTGAAAAACGAAGAGGATTGAAATGTGATCTGAAGGGTCAGACAATTCCAGACTGAGAAATAAGCAGAGGAGGCAGGCAGAAGGAGTTTGAGAAGAACCCGAGGGCGGGGTAGAAAGGACTGTAAGGGATCATGTTTGAAGTTTATTTTGTGCCCCTTAGAGAAGAAATTGGAAGGAGACGGTAAGTGGGCGGGGGTCTTTCTTTTAAAGGATTCTTTGCACCTGCAGGCAGACTGTGCCATCATGGAACCCTGGGCTGACCAGAGCATTGCCTGAGTGCATTCTGCCAGATGACAGGGAAGGGCCAGCATAGTGTCTGAATCCTTACAGTATTTTCCTAGAAGTCCCCGTGGATGTGGAAGTATTGGGGAAGAATTGGACAAATGTACCTCCTTTTTGATGTATGACTGTTTTTATTTTCTCTGGAGAATTAAAAAGCTGGTCACTCACCCCATACAAATAAAAGCTAAGAGCAAGAAATGGAGACTTGACCAGCCAGATGGATCAGGTTTATTTGTCAGGCAAGTTTTGCAGCCTGGGTTACAACCTCAGGACTGCATGGTAGGAGCTGACTGGTTTCCACAAGTTGTCCTCTGACCACTTCATGCTCTCTCTCTCTCTCTCTCTCTCTCTCTCTCTCTCTCTCTCTCTCTCACCCACACACACACACACACACACACACACACACACACCCCTCACATACATACCACATATACCAATTCCTACACACACATCACATCTCACATTCATATCATAACCCAAACATTTCCTATGAAAGTTGCATTGTTCAACAGCCACGGTTTTCTTTCTTCTGTCCACCAGGTGGAGGTATAGAGTTTTGTACTCTTCTTCACTGAGGGGTTCTGTTGAGTTAGTTAGGAAGCAAACACCATATTCAAGAGTATAAAAGCCCATCCATCCCCCTTTACTGCACTTTATAGCTTTGTATTTTAATCATTTCCCTGGGATAATAAAAACAATAGATGGGGTAAAGGTTCTTCCCCCAGGTTTTTTTCGTTAACTGTTTTCAGCACAGAGCCCTCATCAGAAATGACCCTGCAGGCAGTTCAATAGCTGGAAGAATAGAGATCTGTGCTAACAAAAAAACACCCGAGTGCTCACTTCTGCTACATACTGAAAGCAAAAATTAAAGAATGAACACAAACTGTTGGCAACCGGTGCCAACTGTCCATATACAAACTATGAGAACAGTGTCCCGTGTAGTTTGGTTGATAAGAGTCGTTCTTATTTTCTAGGTGCATCGCTGTACTTCATGTCAATCACTACGCCAACTTAAGTAGCTTTAACTAAAATGGAAAAATATGAAAAACTGGCTAAGATTGGAGAAGGGTCTTATGGGGTTGTATTCAAGTGCAGAAACAAGTCATCTGGACAAGTGGTAGCAATAAAAAAATTCGTGGAATCCGAAGATGATCCTGTTGTTAAGAAAATAGCATTGAGAGAAATACGCATGCTGAAGGTAGGTCACGCGCTCTGCGCCCCCAAGGCATTGTTTGAACTGGGTACAGTAAAGTGACCCAGAATTTGTTTCTTTTCATGACAGGTTTCTCTGTAGTTTTAGAGCCTACCCTGGAACTGGCTCTGTAGACCAGGCTGGCCTTGAACTCACCTGCCTCTAAGGCTGGCACCACCATGGATGAGCTAAGACCAAGAATTCTAAAGTGGGATTGTTTTCCCATTGGACTTAAATAACTGGCGATCAGCTATTTTGGGAAATAGGGTTGGACTCTGGCCTCTTTGATTTATTCTGATATGTGTGAGCATAGCGGTAGGTGGTTAAAACATGGAAGTACTCCGCATTCCACACACAGCACCCTGATTGGGAAACATCCACTCTGTCCTCAGTTTCCCGACCCTACTCTTTACCAACAGCTCCCCACCTGGCCATCTTTTGGACATTGCCCCCACACAGTTTCCCAACCAACCAGCAAAACTACATGAGCATGTCCAGCATAAAGGTCCCCCCAGTGTCCCTGTAGATGTCAACATGGATCTGCCTCTGCTGAGTATCCTCTTCCCCAACCATGTGCACGATTTCTTACATTTTTTCCTTTTGTTGCCATTGTGTTTACTCTGACAGAATTCAATGTAGAAGTTTCATATGCTCTCAATGGAAATGCTTTCCTAGCTTAAAAATGCTCTCGGTTTTTAGAGCTTTAAGACCTAGGATGAGCTTCTCCATCATGAACACCCGCCCCCCAAGGGGTCTCGCTGAAACGAGAATTCTGGAAGGGGGGGGTGGATTTGGGATGGCTCTTTTTTTTGTTGTTGTTGGTGGCAATGACTCTTGAAGTTTCTCATTTCTAACCGCCTCCCAGAGGTGGAGAAGACAGAAACACACATGTGAAGAGCACGCAGCCAACCTTCATTTTCTAAGTATCCTCTGTTACTTTCAGTAAAATTTCAGCTTGTAAAAGTGAACAATAATTACATTGTTTCTTCTTTCCAAGTATTACGTGCTGTTTTCCCTGTACTGCAGTGCTTCCGTTAAAATAGAATTTAAAATATGAGTCGCTCTTACGATTGGCCAGCAGAGGGCGCGAGTGAATCAGGTTACTCTGGTGATAATAGGTTTTTTGCTTATTTCTGAGTTAAAACTGCCCTGATCTGAGGATGTGCTTTAATGTGCAAATAGCCAAGCATCGTTCCCTCTATGAGATGTCTGATGATGGCTCAGAACTGCTTTCCTGCTTTTTGCTGTTGCTCCATTGATGGCATTGAACACATCGCTTTTTAATTTTCCTCACTCTCCTCCTCACACTACCTGTTTCATTTGAGGCAACCACAGAGCAGGCTAAGACAACATCAGTAGCCAAGTAGCTGTGGATAGCAGGCCTACCCACAGACAGTTTGCCCTGGTTAAACCTGGGCACGGCGGCAGCGTGGAGCTGCAGGGTCTGTGAATCCCTGTTGCACCTGGCTTGAAACCTGTTCTGCTTCCAAACTGTGGTTTTGCTAAAGCACAAAGGAGCTTGTCTGTTGTGAAATCACCCCTGCCACCCTTTGACCTTCTGCTCTTTCCACCTGTGGAGTAGACAGAATGCAAATTGATTTGGGGTTCTGGACCCGTTTCTCATGTGTCTCGTTTCCCCTACTATTGAGCAGCATTTGTTGGGTGATTTTGTTGTTGCTTTGCACGGTGTGTGTGTTCAGGTGCCTAGTAAGGCCACAAGAGGGTATGAGAACTCCTGAAGCTGGAGTTACAAGTGTTTGTGAGCCATCTAATATGGGTGCAGGAAACAGCTCAAATTGTCTGTAAGAGCAGGAAGCACCTTTAACCTCTGAGCCTTCTTTCCAGCCCAGAATTTTCTTTTCTTTTTCTTTTTTTAAAGTGGAGTCACACTTGCAGATAGTCATCTACAGACATGCAATGCAAGATTCTGAATGTGCCTAAAATTTTGTACTGCAAAATACTTATCAAACTGCTACAATATATAAAACACTGTGTGTGTGTGTGTGTGTGTGTGTGTGTGTGTGTGTGTGTGTGTTTGTGTGTGTGTGTGTTGAAAAATGGATTTGTCTGGTAGATACACAACAAGAAAAAGGAGTTGTAGATAGGTGAGGTCATATGTCCTGTTTTGCCCAGGGACATCCTGGTTTATAGTTTTTGCCCTAGATTCCTGTGTAGTTAATATCCCACCGCTCTCGGGAGTGTCCTGGTATCTACACTTAAGTATTTGGGCCCCTCAGCATAGACAGAGTAGCCATGAATCCTAGTTTACCTACAATTGTTCTGTTTCTACCTGTTATATATACTTCTATATAAGATTTTTATATTCACTCTTGGGGTGGATTATCTGACTTCATCAGCATTTAAATTTTGGTTTAAAATACTGGACAAAAGGCTCGAGAGATGGCTCCGAAGCTAAGAGGACATGGGTTTAGTTCCACAACCATCTGTAACTTTAGTTCCAGGTGATCTGATGCCTTCTGGCCTCTTTAGATAAATAGTGCACATCCATGAGTATGTACATGCCCATGCACTCAGTACATGTTAATAAGCAATCAATTAACTAGTAATAAAAATGTTAAAGGGGAGAAAAAGTAAAGAGGAATCTGATGTTAGCCTCTAGCTTCCATAAGTGTGCTGTGCATGCGCACACACACTGACACACACACACACACACACACACACACACACACACACACACACACTTGAAACTTCTGCCCAGAGATAGAATGATAAAAGGGAACTTGTTCTCTCAATGTCACAGCTGGTCTGGGGAGCAGCTGTAAATGGAAACACACTCACTCAACTGTGCCCTTCAAATCTTTTGCAGCAATTGAAACACCCAAACCTTGTGAACCTCATCGAGGTGTTCAGAAGAAAGAGAAAGATGCATTTAGTTTTCGAGTACTGTGATCACACACTGTTACATGAGCTGGAGAGAAACCCGAACGGGTAAGTGATGGAGAAACCGGAGCTCTGTGGCCAGTTGCCTTCTGTTCTATGTGCAGTCCACTATGGCAAATTTCAAATCCCAGCCCCAGTTTCTCTTCCCTTCCCGTCTGGTCTCATCCTGTCCTATCCCCTCCCCCCCCACCATCGCCCCTCCACACTCTCCCTACCCTCTCCACCACCCATCTATGCTGATGCAGCTGGCTACCATCCTCCACCTTCCGGTAGGATGTGCTCAAAGGGCAATGGCTACTAACCCCGAGCAGCTTCAGAGGAAAGCCTAGACCAGATCACCTGACCTCGAAAAGGAGAGTGGAAATCTAATCATGTAACTAACCAGTAAGTTAAAGTATAAAGGCACCTGTTGGGACTGGGGAGATGGCTCAGCAGTTAAGAGCACTGGCTGTACTGGCAGAAGACCCAGGTTTGGTTCCCAGCATCCACATAGTGGCTCACAAACATCGTAACTCCAGTTCCTCATGGCTTGCTCAGTCTGCTTTCTTATAGAACCCAGGACCAGAAGCCCAGGGGTGGCACCACCTACAATGGGATAGGTCCTCCCCCATTGATCACTAATTAGGAAAATGCCTTATAGCTGGATCCTATGGAGGCATTTCCTCAACTGAGGCTCTTTCCTCTCTGATGATGACTCTAGCTTGTGCCAAGTTGACATAAAACCAACCAGTACAAGCATGCACACATAAAAACTGAATAAAAACTGGGCAGTGTTGGCACATGCCTTTAATCCCAGTACTAGGGAGGCATAGGCAGGCAGATCTCTGAGTTTGAGGCCAGCCTGGTCTACAAAGTGAGTTCTAGGACAGCCAGGACTGTTGATGGGGGTTGTCCTTCTGTATATATGTTTCTCTCATTGGTTGATGAATAAAACACTGTTTAGCCAATAGAAACAGGAAGATAGGTGGGACTAGGAGATGAGGAGAATTCTGGGAAATGAAGGCAGAGAGGCGCCAAAAAGAGATGCCATTTAGCTGCCAAAGGAGAAACAGGTCCAGACATTCTTTGGTAAGCCAAGACAATGTAAAAATACATAGATTTATAGAAATGCATTGATAATAAAGACAGAGCTAGCCAATAAGCCCTAGCCATCAGCCAAAAGTTTTATAATTAATGTAAATCTCTGTGTGCTTATTTGAGGCTGATAAGGGCAATGAGAGCTGGTGGGACAAACAAAACTCCAACAACAGATATTTTATTAAAATTTAAACATAATGTTTAAGTATAAAAGATTGAAAATAAAATATATTTTTTTGGTCTTTCAAGACAGGGTTTCTCTGTAGCATGTCCTCACAAAGATCTGCCTGTGTCTGTCTCCTGAATGCTGGGATTAAAGGCATGTTCCACCACTGCCCAGATCAATCTTTTTTTAAAAAAGTAATAATTAGGTAGACAGAAGAAGATCCTAGGAAACCAACCTCTGGTCTCCAACACATGCACATTATGAACACATATGTATGCAAATGCACAGACACATGCATCACACACTCGTGCACAAGTTAATTGTGAGGGCAGCATCATCTTCAAGTGATGATGCAGTTTCTGAGCTGGGTAGCTCAAGTTGCTTGGACATGATGCCCATTCAGCCTTGAACTGAGCTAACCTACCTTTGCTTTAAGCTTTTCAGTATTGCTTTTGGTATTTGTGTTTACACTAGACCAACGTGTAATATTAAACACCAAATATCGATTGATTTCTTACTGAGGGTTTTATTTCACTCTGTCTGTGGCAGAATGGCTTTGGTGTGCTCTCCCTAGCACTGGCCAACTGTCCATCTGCAGTCCCTTCTCCTCTCTAAGGTCAATTCCATTCATCCCTAGTGGATGTTTACTTAGCCAGCAGTGAACTCTACCTCCTTAGAATCGGAGCTAACTGGACAGAGGCATGACATTCCAGTAAGAAGTCTTTGTATATCCTCTTTGACAACCAATGCCACCATCGAATTAGCTCTGCTTGGTTTCTCATTAACAAGGTTAGCAGTCAGGTTTCTGACCATTTCTGAACCCTCACACCTGGCTTGCTTCCCAGTTTCCCTCACCTGGAGTCCCTGGGTGTCCTGTGTCTATTGATACAACCACCTAGTCCCTCCCCGAGGGATGGAGCCATCCCTCTTCCCTCCACACCCTTTATGTTGCCTGGGCTGTTTCTTTTTTTCTTTTTCTTTTTTAATTTAAATTGGAAACAAGCTTGTTTTACATGCCAATTCCAGTTCCCTAACCCTCACCTCCTCTCCTGCCCCCCCCCCCCCCCCCGCCCCCCCCCCCCATGATCCCATTCCATCCCCTTTCTGCTCCTCAGGGGGCCATTCATACACTAGGGGGATCTTCAAAGTCTGTCATATCATTTGGGCCAGAGCCTAGGCCCTCCCCAGTGTGTCTAGACTGAGAGAGTATCCCTCCATGTGGAATGGGCTCCCAAAGGCCATTCATACACTAGGGATAAATACTGTTTCACTACCAGAGGCCCCATAAATTGCTGAGGCCTCCTCACTGACACCCACGTTCAGGAGTCTGGATCATTCCTATGCTTGTTTCCCATCTATCAGTCTGGGTGTCCATGAGCTCCCCCTTGTTCAGGTCAGCTGTTTCTGTGGATTTCTCCAGCCTGGTCTTGACCCCTTTGTTCATCACTCCTCCCTCTCTGTAACTGGATACCAGAGTTCAACCCAGTGTTTAGCTGTGGGTGTCTGCTTCTGCTTCCATCAGCTACTGGATGAAGGCTCTAGGATGACATAAAGCAGCTTTCTAATTTATTTCCCTATATTTACTTTACTCCTTAGAAAGCCTTTCTCTGCACTGTATCACTTCTTGCTTGATTCTTTTTGATGGCTTTGTGTTTAGAGCAAGGTCTACAGAAGGTTTTGTGAGCTCTACAGATTCTTGCTTTAACCTTATATTCCTCCATGCTCCTAGTCCTTTCTCTCCCCAGAACATCTACTTTTGAAACCTCTGATCACCATGCCAGGGTCATAGTCATGTCTCCTGGCTTTGTCTGGCCTCAGACCTTCATCTCCTGAACACAAGTGGATGTTAAGCCCATGCATTTTGGTTGTAGATTTCTTAGTGAATTTAAGGGTGTTTTTTTTTTTCATTTTCACACAGGCAGAATGGAAGCTTTCAGAGCTCTCTAAGGTTATAACTTTTATAAAAGTAGGAAGTAGGTTATGGTTGCCTTTTCACTTCATAAAAAAGAAATACTGTTATATCAGCTTTGGCTAGGTAAAGGTGAACAAGTGCAAAATTATAAAAAAATCTCACTGTAGGAAAAAGAAATAGATACTTTATATGAATAAGGATTAATACTGACAATAAGGTCTCTCATAATATTAATAATTAGGCCTGGAGGCAAAGGTTGCCACCAGATACCTGACTGTCAAGGTCATATTACTATAATCATGACCTAAGATAAGAAACTGCTCTAAGAAAAATCAACCCCTATGTTCATTTTTCTGAATAGACCAGCCTCACATGGCAGTACCTTGTCATTAGGGTCAGCCATAACTGGACCTGAGTTCAAGCCCAGGGATCCACATAGTGGAAGGAGAAAACTCTCTCTCCTCCAAGTTGTCTCCATGCCTGCTTAGATATGTACACACTTGCACTCTAAGTAGCATAAAATATAATTTAAAAATTTAAATATAAAAGTTAAACCTTTTTGTCTCTGGTTTTAAAAATAACAGAGTTGGAAAGATGAGCAATGCACCAAGATAAAGATCTGCAGTTCTGTGACAGAGCAGTATACACTGAGCAAGTAAATGCTAAGTGTACAGAGACCAGTTCTAGCAACCCGATTAAATACAGTGGCCACAAAGAGAAAAAGACAAAGTAGGATGGGGGATAGAAAGAAGTGGGAGGGAATTGAGGATGATTGGGACATATTATCTAAGTGACTGTCACACACATATATATATGTAGATGTATATATATGAAATTGTGTAAGAAAAACAATTATAAAAAGAAAAGCAGCTTCAGATCAGAAGAAAAAGATGAGAAGGAGAAGGAAGAAAGAGGAGGAGAAGAGAAGAAGAAAGATGAAGATGAAGAAGAAGAAGAAGAAGAAGAAGAAGAAGAAGAAGAAGAAGAAGAAGAAGAAGAAGAAGAAGAAGAAGACAGACAAATCCAAAAAGGATAAAGAATAGATAAAGAATAGATAGTGTCGGGACTGGGGAAATGGCTCAGCAGTTAAGCACTTAATAAACTGTGGAGCAGGGTTTAGACCCCCTAGAAACAGTGTAAATACTACAACCTACATGTAATTCCAGCATCAGAAGGCAAAGATGGGATCCCAAAGCAAGCTGGCTCATGAAACTCTTGGTTCAATTGAGACTGCCTCAAGGTAAATCAAAGATGATACCTGGTATCACCCTAGGGTCGCCATATGCATGTTCACACTGTTCACACACCCATGCACATGCAAAAATACAAATTGCACTCCACAAAAAATGAATAAAGAAAAGGGGGACTAAAAAGACAAGAAATTGAAATACACAAAGTATCATTGTCAACATGTATTTATTTCATGTGAGGCAGTCTCCTACAGCCAGGCTAACCTCCACCTTTCTGTGTAACTGAGAATAACCTTGAACTTTGATCCTCCTGCCTCTGCCTTCTAAGTGATGTGATTGCAGGTGTGCCCCCCATGCCTGATTTTATGTGGTTCTTGGGCTCAAAGCCAGGACTTCAGGCATACTGGACAGGCCACGTTCCCAGTGCCATCATGTCAGATTGTTGGGCACTAAAAAATAAGAAATGGCAAAAAAGTGAGATATAACTTTATTCACCAATAGGCAAGGATAACCTTGGCAAAAGCTGAGTGTTGACACAATGATGAGGACACAGATGTTCAGTGGGAGTGTGATGGGTACAGCCTTCCTTAGAGAGGGGAGCCTGGCAGTATGTAAATATGAAGGTGAGCTAGGACAGTGACGTGACTAATGGAAAGGCACCAAGAATGGAATATGGGTTGCTGTGATTTACAGAGATGGTGGTATAAAGTAGAATGTCCCCAGACAAAAACTGCCCAGGTGTCCAGTGAAAATGATAACCAGCTAAGGACACTTGCCAATGCTCCCCACACAGAAGGCTGATTTTTGCCAGTGATGGGGAGCTCACAGCCTCCCATTCTTATGTGACCTTCATTCTTTTTGGACTCCTCCTTGGGTGTCAACCCTTTCCTCATGCAAGCCATGTGCCCTTTACACAGTAACACGGGACCTGCCATAGTGTTTCCCACCAAAAGGTTAGAGGGACTGTTCCAAGTTTACCATTTCCCATGAAAAAAGGGGGCCTTGCCCTCCACCCCCAGGACTGTTTTGCCTGTAGGATCAGGATATAACACTGACCCCAGACATCCAACTTCTCAGATGCGTCAATGGATCTTAAGAACAAAGTGTGGGACTGGTAGCCACAGGATGAGAGAACTGACTCCAGCAAGCTATCTTCTAACCTTCACATGAGCACCATGGCAATTCTCCCTCTACCCCATTTATAATAAAAAAAAAGAACAAATGGGGTAGGTATGGTAGTACACAGCTTTAATCCCAGCACTTGAGAGGCAGAGGCAGGCCTATCCCTGTGACTTTGAGGCCAGCCTGGTCTATAGAGCAAGTTCCAGTTCAGTCAAGGCTATGCAGTAAGAGCCTGTCTCAAAAAGTAAATAAATAGAAATAAAAAAGGAACAAGCAAGATAAGAAGAAGGTAGTTGTTCACTTGTCATCAGATGGAGAGTTGCAAATCCTCCTGGGAGTGTTTCTAGAAAGAACAGTTGGCTCAACTGTCATTAGTGGACGTCAAGCATAATTACCCAGATGAGCTCCACCACAGCTACTGAAGTACAAGTATGTGTTGGCATCGATACCTCTGCATATAAGATGTACCTGAAAGAGGCGAGGGTGGAATGGGAAGAACCAGCAGGTGGCCCAGCAGGTGTTGGAGAGACATCTTTTTATGTCTTTTAAAAATGTGAAAAATAAGAGCATATTTATTCAAACTGAGAGTCAAAAAGTATATGGAGAGAAAGAAAAAGAGACAGGGGGACAAACAGAGAAACAAGAAGTTTCTGAATGTGCAGCCATTTTTTTCAATGCAATATACATAATTTCATAGATATTTTCAAGCTATAAAATTGCATAATGTCATAAATAGGTTTTGTTTTGTTTTGAGACAGGGTCTATTATGTAGTTCCGATTGTCTTGTCCTGTAGACCAGACTGTCCTTCAACTCATGAAGATCCACCTGCCTCTGCTTCCCTACTGCTGGGAGTAAAGGCATGCACCACCATGCTAAACCTTAGAAGGGGATTTGTGTGTGTGTGTGTGTGTGTGTGTGTGTGTGTGTGTGTGTGTGTGTGTGTGTGTGTGTGTGGTTTCATTTTTCTCAGACAGAGTCTCATTCTGCAGTCTAGGCTGGCTTTGAACTTGTGGTGATCCTCCAGCCTCAGCTTCCTAGCTTTTTTTTTTTTTTATGTAGCCCAAGTTGGGTCTAACTAATGCTTCTCCTGCCTATGTCTCTTGAGTGCCGGGGTTAAAGGGTTGTGCCATGAGAACAGGCCTCTAAACATGCTTGTTTGTTTGTTTTTAATGGGGGAGCAGGCTGGGGAAATGGCTCTATGGGTAAGGCACTTGCTACATAAATGTAAGGACTTGAGTTCTTAGAACCCACATAAAACAAGACCCAGTAGTGTGTATCCGTAATCCCAGTGCTCACAAGGCAAAATGAGAGGCAGAGACAAGAGACCATGGAAGCTCTGGGGCTAGCCAGCCTAGCACATGCAGTGACAAACAAAGAACAGACCCTGTCTCAACGTAGAAGGTGACGGCCATCACTTGGACCTCCACATGTGCACCGTGGCACATGTATACACCCTCACATACATGAACATAGACAACACACGATTTTTATATGTACACAAAGACTTTATTAAAAAAAAAGCATGGCTGGAGAGATGGCTGCTCTTCCATTGTACCTGGGCTTCATTCCCAGCATCCACATGGCTGCACATAACCAACTGTAATATCAGTTCCAGGGGATCTCATACCCTCTTCTGGCCTCCAAGGGTACCAGGCATGTGCGTGGTGCACAAACATACAAGCGGCAGAAACACGTAGGTGATTATTAAAGCAATTCTACCAGACCCTCCCTGTGCATTGTGCTCTCTGACTGCATTGAATCCATCTGCCCTCTCATTCCTAGTCCTTGCCTCTGGGACCCCTTGCCAGGAGTTTTCATTTCTACTTTTGTTCTTTTCCTCCAGTGTTCCTGATGGAGTTATCAAAAGCGTGCTGTGGCAAACCCTCCAAGCCCTTAACTTTTGCCACAAACATAATGTAAGTAGCAACTTCTAATGCTAGCAAGTTCTCTGCAATAACTCTTCTGATAGAAAGAAAGAGCCAGGGAACTAAGATCAAAGTGAGTTGCATGTGAGGAAAGGCAGTTTATCACTCGAAGCCCTTCTCCTGTTTCTGTGAGAATTAAGCTACTGATAGCTTGTGAATTCAAAGTTTGTGTGGGCTTAATGTTTCCTTCCATTACAGAATTAATGATTCTAAGAATTGTTTAGATTGAACTAAAATAATTGTTCATCTTCTCTATAGCCTGACCCATCATGGCACTTGGCTGAGTTTTGTACTTAATGTAGTGTTGTGGAATATTAGTTTAAGACGTGTTACATTCATTCATGATGTGGAACATTTGTTTAATGATGCAGAGATGTGTTATTCTTTTATGTTGCATTTGTTTAACTCTGTGTTACTTTGCCTGTCTAAAACACCTGATTGGTCTAATAAAGAACTGAACAGCCTATACTTAGGTAGGAGAGAGAAATAGGAGATTTCTGGACTCTGGAGAAGAGGAGGAGTGAAAAAGGGAGGAGAGGAGGATGCCAGGGGCCAGCTATGCAACCATACAACCAACAATGGAGTAAGAAGGGAAGAAAGATATAGAATAAAGAAAGGTAAAAGGTCCAAAGGCAAAATGTAGAAGAGAATCAGGTTAATTTAAGTTAGAAAAGCTGTCTAGAAACAAGTCAAGTAAGGCCAGGCATTCATAAGAAAGAGTAAGTCTCCAAGTATTTATTTGGGAGCTGGGTGGCAGGCCCCAGCTCCCAAAACAAAACCCAATACACTGTAGGATTTAGGGGTTGGTTTTGAGGGAGGAGGTGTGTGTTCTTGTACAAAAGTTCAAGTCACAGCAAGACATTGTCTTTCCTCATTGTGTTTTGCCTTATTTCCTTGAGATCAAAAGGTTGCAATTTTCATTAGGCTAGCCCACCAGCAACCTCTTGGGATCTGCCTGTCTTCACTCCCAGTACTGGGATTATAGGAGTAGACAGCTGTACAATGTGTTTTATGTGGGGTCTGGGAATCCAAAGCCAGGTAGGTGTTAATATCTGCAGGGCAAGCACTCCAACCCACTGGGCTATTGCCTGAGCTCCAGGGTTGGATAATCCTAGCCTATATTGTTTCATTGTTGTTGTTGCTGTTTTTAGGTAACAGTATTTGATGTGTAGCATCACATGCTTCTTATCTTATCAACATCATGAGATGTATAATGTCTGATAATCATGACCTTGGTGATGGTGATCCTGATTGGTAGACTCAGGGGTTACTAGTTTGATCGACACCCCTCCCTACTGCCCCCATTTTCAGTTTCCTTGTTGATCTTTATACCTGATGGTTCCCACATTCTTGCCTGAATCCAGAATTCATTAAGATTAAGAAATTGTTGCTTTCCAAAGGTATCATTACTTCTTCATTTCCATTGGGATTGCAGCCAGGTATGGTGGTACACATCTGTAATTGCAGTTCTCAGAATGCCAAGGCAAGAGGATCATGAGTTGGAGGAGGACAGCCTGGCTTGTATCATGATATCCTGTTTCAGAAATAGCCTAGTAATAATAACAGTTGGAATTGCATAGATAGAGTAGATTACCCTTATGGACTCTGGCTATTGTAAAGTATAGGAAGATAAGTATGGGCTAGGGGTTGTGTCTCATTGGTAGAGCAATTGCTTAGCATGCTTAAGGCTCTGGATTCAATCACCAATGTTGCAAATAAGTAGTCTTTTAAGACTGGGGATATAGCTCACTGGTAGAGTGCTTGGTTAATATGTCAAAGCACCCCCTAGGTGGAATCACCTGAACTGCAAAAACTAAGCAAATGAAAATAAGGCAAATACATAATGCTTTCATTCAGAGTGATGAGCACGTATGTCAGCATCATCCCTTGGTGAGCAATATAGGCTAGGATTATCCACAGCTCTTATGGTTTGGTTGTTTGTGATGCCTGCAGTCATTTTTCTTTCTCATTGTGGGCCAGTGGCAGCTTATTCCAATTGGCTCCTGGTGCTTTGTTTAATGGAGTTTCTGTCCTGCCTAGTCCTGCAGCCCTTCAGTCCCAAATAAACACACAGAGGCTAATATTATAAACTGTTTGGCTAATGGCTCAGGCCATTTTGCTAGCATGAGGGATCTTATAAAATATCTCTAGACCTTCTGATTGGGTGCTTAGAGTGCCAAGAACTGATTCAGAGTACCATATAGGCAGTTCTGTTGCCAGCAGGATGTCTACCATGGTAGTTTGGGATTGCTGGAAAATGAAATTCAAGATCAGGGAACTAAATGTCTATACTTAGGGAAACTCTCTTTAGTTTTACAAAAGCCATTGAAGTTTCCATTAGAATAAAGCAAAAGCCTTCATTTCCTCTGGCTGGAAAGGTATGTTGTTCACAAGATACATAACCCTGGTTTTCATGATGCAATTTGTGGCTCCCGAGTTTTAGAAAAGGTGATGCTGGACAGAATCTATTGCTTTCTACCATATTCCAGGAGACAGAACGTTCACATAAAGTTGATAGGGAAATCGGCACAGTTTTTAATTTTCTTTAGGTGTATGGATATTTTGCCTGTGTGTGTCTGTGTACCACAGGCATGCCTAGTGCCAGAAAAGGCCAGAAAAGGGCATTGGATGCCATAGAACTGTAGTTACAGTGGTTGCAAGCCATGGGAGTACTGGGAATTAAACACAGGTCATCTGGAAGAGTAACCAGTATCGCTCCAGCTCTGTTAAGATGGTTTTTAAAGATATTATTTTCCACAAGCATTTGTACTTCTGACCTGTATACCAAGACACTCTCTTGAGTCTGAGGCTGACTCATCTTTTTTTTTTTTTATCTCTTCCATGTGTAATATGGACCTCTTTTTAATAAATAACTTCTTTATTGACTCTTTTGGAGTTTCACATCATGCACCCAATTCCATTCACCTCCCAGTCCCCCCTATCCTCCCCTCATCCCTGCCATGCCCCCCACATAAGGAAATAAATCAAAATAAACAAGCAAGCAAACAAAAGCAATAACAAACAACAACAAAAAACAAATATAAAACAAAAACCACCACAACAGAAAAACCTCTTTGTTTCTCCTTCTTTCCTGCTTCTCCAACCCCTCTTCATTCCTCCTGAGGGCAAGGAGGCTTCAGTGTGCCATATAGCATACCTCTTTGTCCCATCAGTTTTACTGGTACATGTCTATTGCAGTGAGTCAATGGTCTAGTTCAAGGCCTTTAGATTCTGGTTCACCACCATCAATGAATTTTCACCAGAACTCCCCTGGGATATCCCGTGGCTGCTATGAGCCTTGGAGATCTTTGGGTATCATTCCACAGGACCAGTCCCTTCACAAGCTCCAGCAGGTCCTGGATGGGGTAGATGCTAGGGTGGGTCAACCCAAGGACTGGATAGTAGCCACGCTGGTCAGTCTGGGCCCCTGGGACACCCATCTCAGGCAAGTGGGTGGAGTCAGCTCCCCTACATGCATGCCCTCAGGGTTGGTTCACCCTGGCCTGTGGTGAGGGGTGGGGGCCATCTTTCCAGCATGCAAGGGCCAGCTCTCTTGTAGTGTCCAGCAAGAGGCAAGACCAGCTTTCTTGGGGTCATCAAAGGACAGGACCAGCTTGGCATGTCCCTCTGACTTCATCTCGAATGGTTCCTAAGGCCTCCTGGACCATCTCCCCAACATGTAGGGGCCAGCTATCTTGCTGTAGTGTCCAACAAGAGGCAACGTCAGCTTTCCCAGGGCCAGCAAAGGGCATGGCTGGCTTAGTATGGTCCTCTAATTTTATCCCGCATAGTTCCTAGGGCCTCTTGAGGGTGACACACACCACAGCCATCCACACAGTCCCTGGCTATAACTGGACCATGGACCTAGACGTGGCCCTTAGCAGCAGCTTGGGCCTGGTAGACATCTTGGCTCTGGGTGGAGGGACTGGCCACTCAGGTGGGAATGGTTGTGTCCCTAAACTTGGACCTCTATGTGACCTTTGGTGGCAATGCAGGACCCAGACTTCAGCACAGACCCCAGGCATGGTAGAACCATGGACCAAAACATGATCCTCAACAGTAACTGTGTCTGGATGTCACCAATGTCCCAGCAATGGTTTGGCCTTAAGATACCAACATGGCCCTGATCTAGGGTTTCTGCCCAGCCTTCAAAGGTAACAGGTGCATCGGACATCAACACTGACCCTAGCTGCAGTAGGGACACAGACCCTGACCTGGCCCTCAGCTGCAGCTCTGGCCCAGACATCACTATGATATTGAGTGGCAATGCAGGTCCCTCAGATCTGAATGAAATCTGGCCCTCGGACACTAACCTGGACTCAGTTGGCTGATCTGACCCTGGGCAACCTCATGGTGCTTGGTAGCACCAGGAGCCCCTTATGTCAATCCAGACCCTGGCTGCTATAAGACCACGGACCCAGACATGGCCATCAGCAGGAGCTTGGGCCCAGATGACACCATAACATGGACCTCTTATATAAAAGATGCTCAATAAATATCTGCTGAATAACCAGATAGATAGGGCGATGGATTATTTAGTCAAACAATCTTCTTACCTGAGTGTAACCAAACAATTATTGTAGCTTAATAAAATTGACATCACATCACCATTTGCAGAGCTTATCCTATATTCTGAGCTTTAAACTGCTGCAGACTTCTCATGAGCAAACTTTAGCCATTATTATAAAATAGATAATTATCGTTGTGGATATGTTCATGATGGGGTGGTACATGCCACAGTGTGCATGTGGAGGCCAGAGCAGTTTTTGAAGCTGATTCTCCCCCTCTACCTTCACATGGGTTCCCAGGATTGAACTTAGGTTGCCAGGCTTGCCAAATAAGTTCCTTTACCTGCTGCAATTCTCAGTGGCAGAAGGGGGATACTTTCTAGACAAATTTAACTCCCCCAAGATGAAAATCTCTTAATGTTTTTTTCCAACCTCTCAAATCTGCATTATCCAACCTGAATTGTGGGCCATAAACAGCAGCGATTCTTGTTAAAGGCACTTAGAGTCTCCTATTGTTTACATTTCTCCATGTTCTATTACAGTTCAAATAGAAAACATAGAAAGTGAACAAACTCACTGTATTGTGTGTGTTTCTTTCTTCAAAAGATCCAGGAAGACACAGTTGCCATGTGTAACAATTATAGTTTTAGTATCTTTGATAATATCCTGCCATCTAGGTAAAACTTTTATTTGACAAGACTCATATATGAAAATGGACAACTTAAATTTTTCTAGAAAAATGAAGGAGAGCTCTTTTTGTTTTTCAATTGTGAGCTATGAAGCTTTTGTAAGCTCTGTAAGCAATTGTAAACTATCCATCATTTAAACTAATAAGTACTGTTGATTCTTTGTCATTATGATGGCTCAGTTAATTAAGCAAATATTATCTTACAGTGTATTCATCGGGATGTAAAACCCGAAAACATCCTAATAACCAAGCAAGGAATGATCAAGATTTGTGACTTTGGATTCGCACGGATTCTGAGTAAGTACTTTTCACCTGCTTCATCTAGTTCAGATGACAAGAAATTGATGTCATTTGTATTCTTACTTATGCTAAAGGATAGATGCTAAATGTCTTGTTATTCAAAAAGGGGAAAAAGTCTCATGTTAGCCTCTTGGTCAGTTGATAATTCAGCTTTTCTCCATTCAGCGAGAATTCATTGGATGGCATCTTTGTGTGCTTGGCCCCAAAAGTGTGGAAAGGAATCATAAGATGCATTGCTGCTCTGCAGGCACTTATAACCCAGAGTAAATGAGATGAAAGAATAAGACAAGATTGCTGGGCAGAATGGTTCCCCAGGGAGAGATAGCAACATGGGCTTGAGTGATTGGAAAAGCTCCACAGAGCTGGTGAGACTGTAAGAGTCAGCTGAAAATTAAACAGCCACCATGATTCAGAGACAGTGCTAAGAAAAAGGATACCATCCCCATGCAGCAAGGGGCCAAAGGGATGGGGGATAGATAACTATTTCTCCCAAGTATAGAGTGTGAGAGCAACAGGAACCTGTGTTAGCAACATGCACCTTACTGGTGGGGGGCAGGTATGAGCATCCTCTGCATCCCAATGGTACCCAGAAGTGACTGAAAATGCTGAAGGGTTGAAAGAAAACTGTCCAAGTGCCTCTAAGGCTACTGTGCTTGGTGGTGCAAAACAATAGGACCCAGATGATAACTGATCCCTGCCATGGCTGAAAAGAGAAACTGGCAAACCAAGATGCTCCTAAGCTATAGACTCTGTATTAAGAGTTCATCTTGAGGGATAGAAGATTCCAGTTAGAAGCGACGGTCACAGAATTGTCAGAGACAGTACGAAATGTTCAAAGACCCATCCTGCAAATCTGAGAACTAGAATTTGCCACGTAAAAGTTGGACACACAGCACACATTTGTAATCCTAATGTCCCTAGGATGAGTTGAGAGACTAAGATAGGGAAAACCCCAGAAACTCACAAGTTCATAGCCTCACACTTGTGCACACAGGCACGCATGCACACATGCATGCATGCACATGGTATTCAAATACTCATACACACATACCAAATTTAAAAAGAAAACATTCAAAACACTGTAAGCAAAAAAGCAAGCTAAACTTATACAGGCAATGTGAGTACAATTACACAGGAAATGAAAAGGCAAAAGGGCTGGGCCCCTGGGCTCAAATGGTAGAGTGCTTGCTTAGCATGCAGGAAGCCCTGCATACACTGGGCTCAAAGAAACAGAATTGTAATCCCAGCACTTTAGGAGGTAGAGATGGGACCATCAGAAGTTTAAGCAAAGTGCAACTCTCAGGGCAGAAGGACATGTTGGACGGGAAAGGTTTCACCTAGATCTCCATCATCTGCCTGTCATACAGGCGTGACTCATGGTACAAACAGTCAAGCCAAGTTGTCACAATAGTCCTGAGAAAGGAACAAGGATAGGGAAAGTCAGTGTGTGCAACCATCCAGGACTGCAGTGGTCTCTGTGGTTGCCAGAGTGAACATCTGTAACCCCTGAAGCTTAAGGCTTTAGAAGGTGATTTCTCCTGGTCCTGGAGGCTTCAGGGGAGGCTGCTTCCTGAATCCCAGGCTGTACTATTCCTCACCTGGCAGCCACTTCCTTCAGCATCAGCTCTAACTCACATGTCTGTCTATCTCTCTGTGTCCCTGCGGGGTCACCTTGTAACAATGCCAGTCCTTGGACTGGGGTTATGGCTCAAATGGCTAGGTATTTGCTGTACAACCACGAGGACTGGAGTTTAATCCCCAGAATACACATTAAAAAAATTGCAGGTATTATGTTGTGTGCTGGGTCCTGGGGAGGTAGCCACAGGCAGACTCCCAAGGCTCTGCTGGCCAGCCAGCCTACACACAGATTGGGAAATTCCAGGTAAAAGTGAGAGTCTGTCTCAAATCAAGGTACGGGTTAGGAGTGTGGCTTGGATGCTAAAATAACCCATGGATGTGGCTCACCTCTCACCTCTATACTTGGAAGGTAGAGGCAGGGGCATTAGGGGTTCAAGGACAACACAGGAAACATGAGACACTGTGTTTAAAAGGGGAGTGGTGGAGGGGAACAGTGGTCTGAGGAATGACAACTAAGGCAGATCCGTCTCTCTCTCTCTCTCTCTCTCTCTCTCTCTCTCTCTCTTTCTCTCTCTCTCTCTCTGTGTGTGTCTTCTCTCTCTCGCTCTCTCACACACACACACACACACACACACACACACACACACACACACACACACACACATATACATACATACAACAGTCCCTGAAATCAGGACCTGCCTCCTTGTAACTCAACAACATCGGAAAAGTCCCTTTTTCCAAGCAAGGTCAAATTCACAGGTGCTAGAAACTGGGACTTCAAATCTATGTTTTTGGGGGTTTTGTCGTTGTCATTTTGGTTTGGTTTGGTTTTTGGTTGTATTTTGTTTTGTCTGGAGGATGCAGTTTAATTAACAACGAGCACTGTGCTGATGAGAAATGGAAACAAGTGAGATCTGGCTTAGACTCGGGTGACGGCAGGAATTCTCACACCTGTCTGGGATGATTCCCCCATGTTTTCCAGCTAGGGTGCACTCAATATTCACTGGGGCCTTGGCTCAGTGACCATCTTACTAGTCAGTGTCAGCAAGATCCTGGCTGAGAGCTACAGAAGCCATCTGACTGAGCTGCTGCCCCAGTTGCTCCGGGGAGTATGGGTCAGAGATACTGAGGCCAGGAGATGATGATGTCATTGTATCTGTCTGATGTTCTCCCTCTCAGTTCCAGGAGATGCCTACACAGACTACGTTGCCACCAGGTGGTACCGAGCCCCGGAACTTCTGGTGGGAGACACTAAGTATGGTTCCTCTGTGGACATGTGGGCTGTCGGCTGTGTTTTTGCAGAGCTCCTGACAGGTCAGCCACTCTGGCCAGGAAAATCAGATGTGGACCAACTTTATTTGATCATCAGGACACTGGGTATGAATTGCATTTTGTGGTCCACATGTTGGTTATAGCACCCACATAATAGACAAGGTAATGAAAGCAAGAAGTCCATTGCTTCTCTAAGGCTCTAGGGGGAAGATCTCTGGTCTTTCGGTTGTAGTCAAAGCCCAATCCTGTCTGAACACACAGTGCCCGCAATGAGTCTGCAGAGGCCTTGCCAAGAAAAATCCAGTAAGTCTGATGTTATTGCCTGATCTAAGCAGTAGCCAACATTTAAAGTGATATTAGTGAAATTCATCTGTATAATACCTTAAAAGTTATAAATTCTCAATTTTAAGAAAAACAAAAAACTTGTGATCTGAACACTTCTGGCCCTGCACTCATATGTATAACCCCTATCCCCACCTCTACCCCCAGATACACATGTAAGTAAAATAAAGTAACTCCTTTTTTTCAAATTAATCTTTTATTATTTTCTTAATATGGTTTTAATTGAAATAGAATTACATCACATTTCCCCCTCCCTTTTCTTCCTCCAGCCTCTCCCAGCTATCTTTCCTCCAAGCCTTCCGATGCTTTCCCACTCTCAAGTTGATGACCTCTTTTACTTATTATTGTTATATATTTATGTGTGTATACATGTATTTATATATATGTACATATATATAAAACCTACTGAGTCCATTTTTATTCTTTGTGTATATATGGTTTTGTAGCTGGCTAGGGAATTCATCCCTGAAGGGGCTAATTCTCCCAGGGGTCATTAGTTGCCTGTAGTTCTTTGTTAGGAGTGGGACCCCATGAAAACTCTCCGGTCTACATTAGTGTGTCTGCTGATATGGCTATTGTTTGTTCCAGTCTGGCTTACGCAGACATTTCTAGGAGAGACAGTTTCTCTGCAGACTTCCTGTTGTTCTGGCTCTTACAATCTTTCCACCCCTCTCCTTGATGTTTTCTGAACCATAGATGTAGGAGCTGTGATGTAGATGCTTCCATTGTGGTAGGCTCACCATGTTCTGTGGATCTCTAACTGTAGTTTTCTGCGATGGTCTGTATTTGTTGTAAAGAGAGGCTTCTTGGATGAGGGGTTGTAGCTGTAGTTATCTGTGGGTATAAGCATAAGATTTAGAATGTAGTAAGGAATTGCTTGTCTAGAAACGTAGCTGTAGTACATTCTTTTCTAAGGCCCATGACCTCACTAGGCCAGGGAAACTGGTTAGGCTTCTAGTACTAGACAAGACTTCAAGTCCAATAATACAGCTGTTGGTTGCCACCAACATGTGGGTACTACTCACCTTTATGCATATCCTGCTATGCTGGTCATTGTCCTGGTTATAAGTGTTGCAGCTGGTCAGGACTACTTAATTGCTTTTCTCCCTTAGCTGCTTGTCAAGTATTCTATATAAATAAAATATAAATAATAAAACAACTTTAAACAACATGTTAAGGAATTCATGTCTTTGAGGGGAGGTTTTCGTTTGTTTTGTTGAGGTCTTTTGTTGTTTTGTTTTGTTTGTTTTTAAGACTGGGTTTCAGTATATAGCCCTGGATACCTTGGAACTCATTCTGTAGGCCAGGATGGCCTTGAACTCACAGAGATTCCCCTGCCTCTGCCTCCCCAGTACAGGAATTAAAGGCATGAGCCACCGCTTCCCAGCAGGAATTTATATCTTTATTTAAAGATTTGTTTTATTTTTGCCAGGTGAGGTGGCTCATGCTTTTTAATCCCAGAACTGAGGAGGCAGAGGCAGGAGGATCTTTGTGAATTCAAGGCTAGCATGGTCTACAGAGTTAGTTCCAGCCCAGACAGGGCTATGAAGAGGCACCCTATCTCAAAAACAACAACAACAACAACAAGAGTTGTTTTATTTTTATTTTTATTTATTTATTTGTGTGTGTGTGTAAGAGAGAGAGAGAGAGAGAGAGAGAGAGAGAGAGAGAGAGAGAGAGAGAGATGCTGGAGATAGAACCCATTGCCTCTCATGTATGTGAAGAAAGCCTTCTGCCACTTAGCTCTCCACCAGTCCACTTGGGACCTTGTCTCTTGAGCTTTGTTCACTGTGTCATCCTTGACAGTCGGAAGTTGTAGTCTTCTTCCCATCATTGGAAGGGATCTAACCCAGTATAGACTACAGATCCACTCCAGGAGCTGGATGCAAACTGCTCTTTCAACAGGATGAACACACATTCTTTCCCAGAACTGCTCTGGCTTTCTGCTTGCTGGGTGGTTCTCTGCTTCTCTCTAGCTCATTCTCTTGGGAAACACAAAGGTGTGGGGCAGAGCATCACTGTGAGTCACACCCTCTATGTGTGTGTCTGTTTGCTCAGTTCCCCAACTGTTTAGACAGATCTGCACTGACTCCTGTTCGTACGACCGACTGATGAGCCTCTCTCAGCCTCACTTTCCTCACTGAAATGAAAACTGGCAATTCTCAGGCTGGGCATGTAGCTCAGTGGTTGAGTGCTTTTCAAGCATGCATATATCCCTAGGTTTGAACTCCAGCACTACATGGATCAGGCATAGTAGCCCATGCTTGTGATCCCAGGATTTGGGAAACAGAGGCAGGAATACCAAGAGTTCAAGGTCACGCTTGGCTGCATAGTTTTAGGCCAACCTGGAATAGACAAGCTCCTGTATCATAGAAAGAAAAAAAGAAAGGAGGGAGGGATAAAGGAAGGGGTGGAAGGGGAGGAAGGGAAGGGAAGGAAGATGGAGGGAAGAAAGGAAGGGAGAAAGGGAAGGAGGGAGGGACGGAAGCTATGAATTCAGTTGAGAGACAATAAGCATGAAGAATCCAGCAGCAACCTCTCACTTAATCTTACAGGGAGGCTGTTTGGCAAAGAGGATGTGTGGAGAGTGGTCCTCACCTTTGCACAGGCTTAGCTGCCCATGTCTAGAGGAAACGCTCAAGCACAGTGTCCACTTAATACCTTCATCTTAGGAGATTTTTATAATATGCTTTATGATTTTCTAACCGAGTATCAGGAACTTCGTGGTTTGTGTTTTACAGGGAAACTCATCCCAAGACATCAGTCTATCTTTAAGAGTAACCAGTTTTTCCGTGGCATCAGCATACCTGAACCAGAAGACATGGTAAACTGCTCTGTGCTGGATGACTTGTTTGTGCTGTGTCTGTAAAGAGATGGGTGTTTCACATGTGTACTTTTGACTGCTGTTTTCCATAAGAAACACCGATGTGAGATTGAAGTTAAGTCCCTTTAAAATGTGTAAGCCACACACAGTGGGACGCAACAGAATTCCTGACTATTCAAGATGCTGGATCACTTGAGCTCAAGAGATCTAGGCCAGCCAGACTGGGATGTTTTAAGGTCCTGACTCCAAAACTATTTATAAAAATCCAGGCATGGTAGCATGGCTATAAACCCAACACTCAGGTCTATTAACACAATTTTGATACCAGCATGGGCTATACAGCAAATTCTGGAACAAAGAAGCCAGAACTATATAGTGAAACTCTCTCTCTCTCTCTCTCTCTCTCTCTCTCTCTCTCTCTGACATACAGACACACAGACACAGACACAGACACAGACACAGACACACACACACAACACACACACACACACACACACACACACACACACACACACACACACACACACCAGGGACAGAGATGCTCGTAGGCTAAGAGCGCTTGCTATACAAGCATGAGGACTAGGCACCTAGGCAAAGAGATGAGTGTGGCTGTGCATACCCCAGCATGGGAACACTGGACACTGGGGCTTGCTAACTGCCAGCCCAGCTTAAAAACAGCTCCAGGTTTAATGACAGGCCCTAACTCAAGGAAGTAAGGAGGAAGATGGAGAAGGATACCCAGTGTAGTTCTCTGGCCTCTTCATGCACTTATGTGGTTTTGCACAAGTGTGCATACATGCCAAAATAATAATAATTAATAAAGATTATGGAGGAAAATAACACTTTGTCTGACCTATTTCTTCCACAGTTCACATACAATAAGTTTAAATCATGTTCAGGATCTGACACAACACCTTGATGTTTGTGGTCAAATGCTAAAGTTAACTTTCCCTGGAATATTTATTTTCTCATAAATAGTACTTCAAACAATTTTCTTTATTTTGAAGATATGTTCTCTCTCAATTATTTTCCGTCTTATAGAACAAAGCTGAGAGCAATAGAAACAAGTAAAAAAATAAAAACATTTTCCAAATCAGGTTTGCTGTACCTATAACTCTAGCACCTGGAAGGCAGTAGCTGCAGGATCATGAGTTCAAGTCCAGCCTGAAACATAGAGGAGACTCTGTGCTACCCACTGCCCTCCATAAAAAAATAACCAAAACCTTTGTCTTATAAACATTTCCTCGTGGAAGTTCATTCTACAGAATCTACTGTACCATTGCAGCTCCTGATCCATGGACATATCTTTTCCTATTCTAGCCTTGTCTGGCTCCCTCTATCAGGTCACCTAAATTCAGGGTCTCACCTCCCAAACTCCATGTTGATCTTGGTGTTATGATCCAAGTCAGTCATCTCAGCACTGGGGAAACAAGAGGCAGAAGGATGCCATAACTTGAAGGTCAGCCTGGTCTACATAGAAAGTTCCAGGTCAACTAGGAAGACCTATAGAGATTTTGTCTCAGATCAATACCAACAAAAGCCATCTTCTGTGGTTGGATTTGGACCACCAGCTCACAAAAAACAACATGGAGACTTACTGTTCATTATGAAAGTTTGGCCTATAGCTTAGGCTTGTCACATTAGCTCTTATAATTTAAATTAACCCATTTATATTAGTCTATGTTTTACCTCATGGCTTTTTAACTCTCTTTTATCTTGAACTTCCTGTTTCCTCTCTGTGTCCTCTGGCATCTCCCCTGCATCTAGATTCATCTCTCTCTCTCTCTGTCTCTCTCTCTGTCTCTCTCTCTGTCTCTCTCTCTCTGTCTCTCTGTCTGTGTCTCTGTCTCTCTCTCTCTCTCTCTCTCTCTCTCTCTCTCTCTCTCTGCCTGGAAGTCCCACCTAACTTCTTTCTGCCTAGCTATTGGCCATTCAGCTCTTTATTAAACCAATCAGAAGGTGCCTAGACAGAGACACATCTTCACAGCGTACAAAAAGATTTTCCCACAACAATCTCCATACTGTCTGCCAGTTTGCCCAGTGGAGGGAAAGAAAGAATCTTCAGGAGAGGCATGACCACACACAACCTTGCTATAGCCAGGGACAGGCAAAGAAGGGAAACCCAAGAAGCCAGATGGTGACATGTAGCATGCGGTTCAAGTCCATGGTTTAATATAATACCAATTTACCTAAGATTTTATATGTATATATAGTTGTAAAATTTTCACAAATATAACACAAGGTTAAAAGTTGACTTACAAAGATAAAAGTTAAAAAAGAGGACTGGGGAGATGGCTTGGCAGTTAAGGCATTTGTCTCACAAGGCTGCAAGATCCATATAAAGGCTGGCTAGTTGTAGTGGCCTGCCTATAGTTCTAACCTCAGAAAGCAGAGACCTCAGAAAGTGATTCCTAAGCCAGCTGGCTAGAAAGACTAGCCATATTGATGAGCTCTGGATTTGAGAGATCCCGCCTCATTGAATAGGGTGGAAGGGCAATAGAGGATGATTCTTGACTTTTGCCTCCATGTACACACATACACACAATGCACATTCTCCCATACATGCATGAACAAACACACAAAATTGAAAAAGAAAAAGGTCACACAAGAATTACTTATGTAACATGTCTAATGTAAAGAATAAGATATGACAAATCCATCCATCCGCTGTCCAGTTTCAGAAGTAGAATGTTACTATTTGTAATTTCTCCATCTCCTTCCCTCCCTGCTATTCTGGGATGCTTCACCTCCTACTGATTGCTATAGATTTTTTCACTATGTAAGTCAATATGTTTTCAAGAATGCTCAGAGTACCCTCATTAATATATCAGGCTCCAATAGCCGAGTACTGTGATAGGATCTTATGTGGGTGTATTTCATATTTGAATCGTCCCTTTTCTCTTCCTTCCCAGGATTACTAGCACCAAGAGTAAGTCATTGCCAAATTAAAACAGCAACTATAGTTTTATATCTCTTGAGCCTTTATACCATACTACCAAAGTATGTAAAAACATGGTTAAAAAACTTAAAAAGGGTCATCAAACATATTAAGGGTGTTTCTCCCAAGTGTTTTGTCAAGTATGCGCTATGGGTGGGAAGATGACTCAGCAGTAGAAAGCTTGCCTAGCATTCACAAGGCTATAAGTCTAGCTCCCCAAGACTATGAAATACATACATACATAATACATACATACATACTCATTACTTTGTGGTTATGTGACACTGAAATTCTGTTTTTCAGGAGACTCTTGAAGAAAAATTCTCAAATGTTCAGCCTGTGGCTTTAAGTTTCATGAAGGTATTTGGGAATTAACTGTAATGACTGAACCTGGTCGTTCAGCACAGAGGTGGGGGAGGGTATTTGGAACACAGTGCCAAAGTAGGGAATAGTAATTTAAAATGGTAAGAGGAGGAGGGAGGTGATAAAAGCATGTGTATGCCTGATGACCCGAGTTCAATTCCTGAAACCCATTTAAAGATGGAGAGCACTAACTTCATAGTTATCCTCTGTCCCCACCCCAACTTGTTCCATGACATATGTGCCCCCCCCACCACCCCTGTCACACACAAACAACTTCTAAATTATTTTTTAGAATGCAAGGAATCCCCATCTTGGACTTTGCAGTTTGTTTCTCGAATCCTGGCTTCAGACGTTTTTCCAGGTTTGGAGCTGGCTGAGAGAACTTCTAAGGACTCATCCAGTTGTACAGAAATTGTTATTCTGGAAGATGAGGACTTGGGAGCCTATCTCCATCAAATCAATATCAATGCTCAAAAGATTAACCAAGTGCCCAGGGGTGGTAGCACATGCCTTTAATCCTAGCATTTGGGAGGCAGAGGCAGGCTTAACTCCAAGTTCGAGGCCAGCCTAGTCTACAGAGCAATTTCCAGGATAGCCAGGGCTACACAGAGAAACTCTGTCTTGGAAAAAAAATTAATCAAGCAAGATGTTGTTCTCAGTCTGAAGCTCCAGAGCATCTTAGAATGGCAGCCTCTCCTTAGATTCTGAAAATACTCCTTGAATAAACAATTCATTTAGTGGACTTGATTTTTATAGATTGAAAACCCCACATAAAGAATGTGAATGAATTCAAGATGAAAGTGTGATGAGTTTGAAAGTGTGATAAGTGCCAACATGATATAGCCTAGAGTCACCTGGGAACTTGTGAGGAACTTTCTAGATTAGGTTGGGCTTTAGGCATGTCTGTGGGGTGGGGGTTGCAAAAACCTGCCCACAGTAAGTGGAACCTTTCCCTGGGGAGGGGATACTGGATGGGTGGAAAAAGTGAGCTGGGCACTGCATGAAGCATTGATTCACTGCTTTCTCCTCTTGTGGATGTAATATGACTAGCTGCTCCATGTTCCGTGGTTTCTTTTATTTCTTCAATGACACCAAAACCAATATTTAACACATAAAAGATACTGCATATCATTAAACTAAACCAAATAGATGAGTGTTATTAATAAACCCATGTGGTAATTTTCAATTTACCAGAAGCTCATGGTTGAAACATTTTGTGTTTGCTTAATCTTCCATCTTAAATCTAATTTTTGGTCTGTTCTTTACTGTGTGTGTGTATGCACACACATGCCATAGCATGCATGTGGATGTCACAGGACAACTTGGGGAAGTTGGTTCTACTGCTGTGTGGGTGCTTGAGATAGACCGCTGTCAGTCTTGGCAGCAAGCACCTTTATCCTTTGAGTCATCTCATCACCCCCCTCCCCAGGGATGCCAGGTGCACACAACATAAGACAAGCTAAGGTATCATGTAGCCCAGTCTGGCCTCAAACCACCCACTACCACTTTAGCAGGTCAGGGTAGGACCTGGAACTTGAATTTCTAATGGGTTCCTGGTGACACTGATGCTTCTGGACTGGACAAATTGCTTCCACTTGTGGTGAAAAAAGTGTCACTGATTAGAGACACCCCCTGATCCATGTGTGGCTCTCCATGTCTTCTCTTAGAAGTCTGAGTGGTAGGTTAGGGAGGTGTCTCTGTGAATGAAACATTTACTGTGCAAATGTGAGGACCTGAGCTTGGATCCCCTGACATGAATGCCAGTGGGCATGGTGGCCCATCTGTAACCGAAGCTCTCAAAAGTAGAGAATTCTGTGGTAATCCAGTTAGGTAGAGTAGCTGTACTGACCAGCCTAATGAATAAGGTGGAGAATGATCCAGGACAACTCCTACCATCAACCTCAGGCCTCCACAGACACACATGAGCAGGTTTATCTACACACACTCCTCCACACATGCATGAGCACACATAGACATACACACACGCACAATACACATACATGCACACATACAAATGCACACATGCACCCATACATGTACACATGCAGAACCATGCCTACACACATAGACACACATGCATGCACTCACAGAGGAAAGTCTGAGTACCAAGAGCATGTATAGCTATGAACGAGTTCCAAGGACTTAGTCAGGTATGGTGCACATGCCTGTAATCCTAGTACTTGGAAAATGGAGACAGGATGATCAGGGATTTAAGGTCATCTTTGGTTTTATTGCAAGTTCAAGGACAATTTGAGCTATATGATATTCTCTTTCAAAAAAAAGAAAAAAGCTAAAACAAACAAGGACTCAATAATTTGATTGTTTATTTATATATATGTATTTAATTTCTTGGAGGGTTTTTTCTCCTTTTTTTTTTTTGAGACAGAGGTTCATGTGGCACAGACACAGGCTAACTTTGAACTCACGTAGCCAAGGATGATCTTGAATTCCTGATCCTCTTGCTTCCTGAGTGCTAAGATTACGGGCACCCAGTGTATGTTGTTCTGGAGCTCAAACCCAGAACCGTATGTGCACCCGGCAAGCACCCCACCACCTACATCCAGACTGATGCTTGCCTTCTCAAACCGTTTGCCCACTTGTTCATCAGAGTTTTGGATGCACAGGAGCCAAGTAAGCCCATCGCTTACATCTATTTTTCTTCTTCTCCCCCTCCGAAGGGGTGTCTGAAGATGAACCCAGATGACAGACTGACCTGTGCCCAACTGCTGGACAGTGACTACTTCGATTCTTTTCAAGAGGATCACATGAAAAGAAAAGCCCGCAGTGAGGGAAGAAGCAGGAGGCGTCAGCAGGTACCTCGGTTCACTACTTGAAGTGATCTAGAAATGATCCCCCACCTCTTTTTCTACTTTTCAAAGTGAGGCAAGAGGAACACCAACACTTTTGTTGCTGGTGTCCTGATTTAGTTGTATTTACCTCAGGAAATAATGGCGATTGCTGTAATAAAACATACAACCATAAAATACCCAGCTTGCTGAAAAATCTTATTCTAACCATACATTTCTACAGGTGGGGCTGCCATTATGTTTCCCAGTTTAGTCTCCAATTTGTGGGGTCACGTGACCCCTGCCTCAGCCTCCCAAGTAGCTGGGATTGGAGGTGAATGGTATTGTGCCCAACCTGCACTTCAATCAAATATTGTGTTCTTTATGTTACATTGACTGGCTATACAGCCTGGGTGATGGTGTACCTAACACTTAACAAGGGCACCCTGATTGCAACTGGATTGAATTTTGCCATCACTGGGCTAGAACCCCACCCCTTTTAGTAGCCTCTAGAACAAAATGTTTCTCAACCTGTGGATTACCACCCCTTCAGAGATTGACCAACCCTTTCAAAAGGGTCGCCTAAGATCACTAGAAAATACAATATTTACATTACAATTCACAACAGTAGTAAAGTTACAGTTATGAAGTAGCAATGAAAATAATTGTATGGATGGGGTCATCACACCATGAGGGACTGTATAAAAGGGTCACAGCATTGGGAAGGCTGAGAACTATTGCTCTAGAGGGATCATCTTTTGCCCATGTGGGCATCCAAGATTGCCTTTTCTAGGCTTTTCCTAGAAGCCAAGGACAAACTTTGCCAGATCAAAAGAATCTGGGGCATTTTAGCTCAGTGATGGAGCACTTGTCAGTGATGGAGCATTTGTCTAGCAACTAAGTCCTACCTATCATAAAACCGACTAGTATGATGGAACAATATGGCAGAGTCTCATGAGAAACAATGACTGCAGAAATCTTCAAAGTTAAAACAAATTTCATGATAGTAGGTTTGTCTTGAATTCCTTTCTCCTCATCAGCACCAAAAATAAATAATATGTAACATAAAGTGTTCTTATTACATATTACTGAAATAAACTAAATAGATTAATGTTATCTATTAATAAACCCATGAGGTAATTTTCAATTTCTCAGTGGCTGACAATTGATACATTTTGTATTTTATTAACCTTCCATCTTTGATGTAATTTTTAGTCATTTATCTGTTCAATTCCATGTACACAAATTTTTATTGTACAAATCATTTTGCTTTTCACTGTTAATTGCTTGCAAGTCAAGCCCAGCTCTTACACTTAAACAACAAATAGATTAGGACTTGGGGCTGAAGATACTGCTCCGTGGTTAAGAACACTTGCTGCTCTTACAGAGGACACTAGTTCAGTTCACAGAACCCACATGATGGTTCACAACCTTCTGTAACTCTATTTCCAGGGGCTCTGATGCCCTCCTCTGAGCTTCACATGAACCAGGTAAACATGTGGCACACATACATACATACATACATACATACATACATACATACATACAGGCAAAATATTAATATACATTGAAATAAGTTTTTAAAATTTTATAAAGATTAGGGCTTGTTGATAAGTCTGAGACAATGATCTGAAATACAATATCAATGTATAGGAATTGCCCCACTGCCTTGAGAATCTCTCACCCACCCCTGACCCCCTACCACTGTTGTGGGGAAGGCTGCACTATTATTCCCTGACCCTATGTCTAGGTGCCCCAGTTGAGTTTTACAGTACCTTATACTGGCCTTAAAAGGATTGGAGGGCAGCCCACTCTTTAAGCTCATAGAAGTACCAGTCTTGCCTTCAAGTGTGTCTCACTAATACCAACTGGGAACTTTATAGACTATAGTGCTTTTCAACCTTCTTCATGTTTCAACCCTTTAACACAGTTCCTCATGTTATGGTGATCCCCAACCATTTTCATTGGTACTTCATAACTTTAATTTTGCTACTGTTATGAATCATAATGTAAATAGCTGTGTTTTTTGATGGTCTTAAGCAACCCCAGTGAAAGGGTCATTCAACCCAAAGTGGTGGCAACCCACAGGCTGAAAACCACTGATAGAAAGAATTTCCAAAGGCCCACTGTCAACCAAAAAATAAGAAGCAGAAGTGTAACAGGTGTTAGGTAATCTCATTTACCAAGATTTACCAACATCATATTTGATGTTGGTGGGCTTCCTTGATAAACTGTATTCTCTGTCCACACATGGTGGGCTGCATATTGTACTCACTGTGAGACCTTGCCCAGCCCAAGCAGATCCCAAGAGAGCAAAGCAGAAAGAAGGGGAAGACAAAGGCCTGAGCTCGAGGAATTTGAGCTGGGCACACAGCTACATCAATAGAATGCTTGCCCAACATGTAAGAAGCCCCGGGTTGAATCCCCAGCACTGCATAAATGGAGCCTTGGTACTTGTAAATCCAGAACTTGGGAGACAGAGACAAGAGGGTCAAAATTCAAGGTCCATGCTCATTGTCTTGGCTACATAGGAAGTTTAAGCTACTGAGAACCAGCCAAAAGAAAGACAGGAGAGAGATGAGGGAGAGAGGGATAGAGAATGGAAGGACAGACAGGACAGACAGATTGGACTGGCTGGTCATGGTAATGCACACCTGTAATGTCAGCATCCAGCATTCTGTAGGCAGAGGTGGGAAGACTGATGAAAGTTTAAAGCTAGCCTGGCCTACATATTGAGATCCTGTTTCCCTGTTTCCAAAAAATGAAAGGAGTTTGAATATTTTGAGATTTGTAGAGCCTTGAGTTTTATTATCATATATTATATGATATATTATATATATCATCCTAGTGGTGAGGATCTCCATAAAAGACCAAGCCCCACCCAAGAGAGACAAGTGCTAGAACACAGGCCTACCCTTTAAGACAGTGGTCACTCTAACATGTGTACAGATCCCCTGAAAAGATCGGGCCATATTTCCTCCTGCAGCTCTCCCTGGGACAGAGAGATAAGAAGCTGTTTCATATTGTATTTTTTATAGCCTGTAATTTATGGTTCTAACCTGTACCTGGCTCACCCATACTCCGTCATGTATGCTATGTTCTGTTGAACTGAATCACGTGGAGTAAAACTTCTCAATGTAGGTTTTTTTTTTTTTTTTTTTTTTTTTTTTTTTTTTTTTTTTTTCACTTTAGGGGTCCGCTACCCAGCTCCCAAATAATCACATGGAGACTTATTCTTATTTACAAATGCCTAGGATTAGCTTGGCTTGTTTCTAGCCAGATTGTTTTAAATTATCTTTTGCTTCTAAGCTTTTACCTTTCTCTATTTTATATACCTTTCCTTCTTCCTTACTCCATGGCTGGCTGGCTGTGTAACTGCCTCCTGAAGTCCTCCAGTCCTAACCCTTTTCTTCTTCATATCCTCTGTCTACCAGCCCTGCCTATTTCTCTGCTACCTAGCTATTGGCCACTCAGCTCTTTATTAGACCAATCAGGTGTTTAAGACAGGCAAAGTTAACACAGCTTTATAGAGTTAAACAGATGCAACATAAAAGAATGCATCATGCTGGGCGGTGATGGCGCACACCTTTAATCCCAGAACTTGGCAGGCAGAGGCAGGGGGATCTCTTTGAGTTCTAGACCAGCCTGGTCTACAAGAGTTAGTTCCAGGACAGCCTCCAAAGCCACAGAGAAACCCTGTCTCAAAAAACCAAAAAAAAAAAAAAAAGCATCACATCTTTGCATCATTAAACAAATATTTCACAACATAAACAAATGAAACACATCTTAAACTAATATTCCACAATATCCCATTGCTCCCCAAAAGCATCAAAAACCCTGATACCCCTTTGTTCCAGGGATTGCCCTGGGGATTTTGTCTGAAGGTAGCTCTGCACTCCCTTTCTTGGGAGCCATCTGTTTTTCTCAAGGTCTCTCATATCCTCACTCTTAAGTTTGGAACCTTAGACAGTTGACCATCCTGGCACCACTATTTTCTTAATGAAGTCCTTTCCAGGTTTTTATTCAGAAGCCTTTCTTTCCTTGAAGGCCCCACCATACTTGCCTCTCATACATATTGTACCAATATTGTCTAATGTCTCCCCCCACAACTTCAAGTTTCCAAGGCCCTTTCTCCTAATAAGCATCACTCCTAAGGGGTACTTACACATTGTCTTCCTTTCCCTGATGGATTCTGTTATTATATTTAAAGGAAAGGGGAAGGAAAGAAGAAGGAGCATAGGTTACACAAGAGTCTTTTCACTCCTGTGGGTTGGCTTCAGGAATTAAAATGTGTGCCTAGACAAGACAATGACTCTCTGCATGATAAACATCAACTTTCTTAAGACCCAGTGTCAGCAGATAGAGGAAAAAGTCTCATTTTAAAAAACATGAGGTGGGCAGGACGGTGTCTCCAGGGATTCTTGTGGGATAGCTGGTGAAAACCTTTCAAACAATGACTGCACACTCAGCAGTACCATACTGAAGTAAGCAATAGTGTGGCCATGAGAACCCTGAAATAGCTCACAGAACCAAATTTTCCATTGAAGTATCAGAGGAGCATAGTTTTTGGAAAAGGGAGGAAGCATAATTTTTAAATTGGAAGTTTTGCCATCTTTGTACTGTGTGTCTTTTTTCTATTATTCTTGTTATTTTGACAGTTCTAACCCAAATGATACCTGTAGGAATTGTTTTCAATTTACTTTCTCACTTTTGTCTTGTTCTTCTATTAGAATCAACTGTTGCCTCTTATACCTGGAAGCTGCATCTCCCCCACACCTGATGGAAGAAAACAAGTCCTCCAGTTAAAATTCGATCACCTCCCTAACATTTAGGGGACCTGCTCTTCTCAGTGCACTGGCTTAATATGTAGATACTTTTGAATATACATAACCCATTCCCTAACCCTAGCATAACCTAGCCCTAACCCTAATCCTAACCCTAACCCTAAGCTAACCCTAATTATATCCCCAACCTAACCCTAAACCCTAACATTAACCATAACCACAACCCTATCTTTCACCTAATACTAACCGTAACCCTAAGCAATGAACCAAACCTTAACCGCAGTCATAACCCTAACACTATCCATAACCCTAACTCAGCCACTATCCTTAAACTTAACCCTAACACTAACCCTAAACCCTACCCTAACACTAAACCCTACCCTAACCCTAAACCCTAACCCTAAACCTAACCATAACCATAACCACAACTCTAACACTATCCATAACCCTAACTCGGCCAATATCTCTAATGCTAACCCTAACCCTAAACTCTAACCCTACCCCTAACCTAACCCTAAATTTAACCCTAACCCTAACCCTAAAACTAAGCCTAACTTTAATGCTAACCCTGACCCTAAACTTAACCCTAACCATAGCCATAACCCTAACAATAACACTAACCCTAAATTTAACCTTAACCCTAATCCTAACCCTATCCATAACCTTAACTTGGGCATTTTCCCTAACCTAAACCTAACCCTAACCTTAATACTGACCTCAACCATAACCCTAGTGTATCCCTAAACCTAACCCTAAGGCTAACCCTAACCTAACCATAACACTTACCCTAACCCTAATTGTAACCCAACTCTACCCCTACCCCTAACCTATCCCTAAACCTAGTTAGGGATAGCTTCCTATTTTTTTTTTTGGTTGGGATTGGAACGAGGTGTTCAGGCTTGGATACCTCTGTCCGATGACTTTAGGGTTTAGTTAAAATAGATAGTTAGGATGTGACATAAGCAGATTGTTGTATCTTCTTATATTTTACCTTTATGATTGTTAATTTTGGATACTTTAAACTGTTAAGTTTTAATCCTCTTTTAGACTAAAAGGGGAATTGTAGGGGAAGCTGTAGCCACGCCTACTTAGGGGCTGGCTACAGGGGTGCCTGACCACGCTTATGAGGGCGTGGTCAGAGTGACGTAGTGTGACTGTGTTTGCTCTTTCGGTTTCACTTTGCTTCTTGCTGTACAGACTGCTGCCGTGCCGACTGGCTAGGTCGCTCTGTAAATAAGGCTTTTCCCTATTAAATACCCTTATGTTTCTACCTGACTCTGTATTGGTAATTTCCCACTATAACTTAACCTTAACCCTAACCAAAATTGTAACCCTAAACCTACCCTACCCCTAACACTAACCATTACCTGAACTGTAACCCTAACCCTAGCCCTAATCCTAACCTTAGCCTAACCCTAGCACTAACCCTAATCCTAACTAAAACCTATTCCTAAATGAAACCTTAACCCTAACCCTAACCTTAAACTATCCCTAAACCTAAACTCAACCCTAACCCTAACCCTAACACTAACCCTAACCCGAACTCTATCCTAACCCTATCCTTAACCCTAACCCCTAACTGATGAGGGAATGTCCTTCTGTATATATGTTTCTATTATTGGTTGATGAATAAAACACTGTTTGGCCAATAGCCAATAGAGGCAGGAAGATAGGTGGGACTAGGAGATGAGGAGAATTCTGGGAAAGGTAGGTGGAGAGGTGCTTCGAGGATACGCCATGTGGTTGCCAAAGAAGTAACAGGCCCAGACATTCTCCAGTAAGCTAAGACCACATGGAAATACATAGATTTATAGAAACGGGTTAATAAATATGACAGAGCTAGCCAATAAGAAGCCCTTGCTATTGGCCAACAGTTTAATAATTAATATAAGTCTTTGTGTGCTTATTTAGGGCTGAAGTGGCCATGGGACCTGATGGGACAGAAACCTCCTTCTTCAAAATGGTGCCATCAATGTGGGGCATGAGTTTCCACATAAAATGGAGCTGCAATGGTCTTCCTAGTCTCTCAGTCTTATGCAGGCCATGGTGCAGAGACACTGCAGCAATTGGGCTTGTCGGATTCTCGCCACACCACACACAGGCCACCACATCTCCAAGCCAGCGTATGTTGTCTGGTAGATTTAGCTTTTACTAAAAAAAAAAGAGGTTTATGGACAGTGTGCTACAAGCTGCTTGATGGTGGCATAGACAAGAGCACTTGTAGGAATCTGTCTTTCCAGGGCTGCAGTCGGAGCCAGCTGCCTAGCTCACGGTTTGTACCTGAGACAGGGTGTGTGGGTAAAGAAGGGCTAGCTAAAGGAGTTAAGAGACAAGACTGGGACACAGGATAGGTGTCAGGAGGGCCATTCATCCATACTGAACAAATACCCTTAGTTTATTCTTTAACAATCTTAAGTACCCAACTGAAGTGGGGACAATGGTAGAAGACTTCTATTATATATAAAGGGTAAACAGACTTACTTCCCTGGATCTTTCAGGTATTTGGTAGCCACACCTGCCATCCGGCCTTCAGGGTTGAGAGTAAACACACCTCAAAAACATACTGTAGCCACCAAGCTACAGACTTAAAGACATAAAAACAGTTTTGAACTCTCTGACCTTTAGTCAAAATTGAATGGAGCCAGTTTTAAAGGAAAGAAGGGGAATATGATATAGAAATGTATACTTTGCGTTGGTATGGATTTTGGTGTACTGATACAAATTTAAGGTCAATCTTGTTATATGTTTATTTCTCTTCTTGCTCAGTTATTGTATTTATACAGCTCTTTAAAATGTAATGTATAATTAAATACAGATTATAGTCGTCTATAATAGTAAAAACTTTTATCAGTTATGTTTTCTAGATATACAGAACATGACATTTACAATGGCTTAGGGTTTTTCATGGCAAAGAGACATGACTGCTCCTGGCAACACCAATTACATCAGAAATGAGGATGAACATCAAAGAAACTTGATATAGAGTTGTTTTCAATATGGCAAGAATAGCCATTTGGACAAGAAACTGCTCTTGCCTGGACTGTTTGATGGTATGCTATATAAATTGGACATGCAGGACCCACAAGAAAGTGACTGCTAAACTTGAAAAAACAAGATGGGACAGTCCTGAAGGGATCCATAGGCATATGGGCAACTTATTCATGTAGTTTGCTTGTGACTTCAGGATCTACTTGGGCCTGATATCTTATATACCACTTCCATTTGATAACAGATTGCTGCTATCCTACTTTATGACTTGGTTGGTCTAATAACATACAGATCATGAAGGGCATCAGGTCACATGGTAAGGTGGTGGCCCACTGTCCAATGTTCCATTTCTTCCAGTGGCTGGGATTAATAGCATGTGCTTGGCCATGTTTATTTTTGAAAATGGTTCCATGGCAGCCAGTGGCAGGCACTTGAAATTAAGAGATATTATATTGTCCCGATTCTCCAATGCTCTTTTTTTGTATGTTATTTAGTTTTCTTCTCTCTCTCTCTCTCTCTCTCTCTCTCTCTCTCTCTCTGTGTGTGTGTGTGTGTGTGTGTGTGTGTGTAAACTATGTAGCACAGGCTTTGAAGCTCACAGTGATCTTCCTGCCCCTGGATCCAGATTGCTGGTACTAAAATAATGCACTACCACACACAGCTTAAAATTTTTTAGGGTGCAAATCTCCTCTTCTTATGGTGGCCATGGAGGCCAGGATATGGTGTCAGAACCCCTGATACTAGAGTTATATATAGACAGTAGAGGGCTTCTGTATGTACTGGGAATGAAAGCTGGATGCTGTGAAAGAATCTTCAATGCTCTTAACTACTAAGGTATTTCCACCCTAAGTTTTCTATTCTTGATTATGTTGACTGTCCAAGGCAACCTAGTCAGGGACAGACACCTGATGTGGATTTAAAAGTGGAATTGTCCTCCATTAGATAGAATTAGCCTCAGGCAGGGATGAGCCCCCCAGCTGTTTGTCAATTACAATATGGTCAGTCCATATGGATGCAGCAGGTTGTGATCATGTATTGCAGCATACTTACTCACCCATACTTAACAAGGAAGAAATTGGAAGGAATGGAATGCAGAGATAAAAGGGGAAAATGGTGTAATATTTTTAAATTAACAATTTATGGAAATAAAGTTTCAATAAAAAGGGGGGCTAGATAGATGGCTCAGCAATTACTAGCACTGGGTATTGTTACAGAGAACCCAGGTTCCATTTCCAGAATTAACATGGTAATTAATCATTTGCTATAATTCCAGTACCAGGCATCTTCTGTCTCTTTCTGGCCTTTAGAAGTAATGGGCACACATACATGCAGGCAAAACACCACATAGATAATTTTTTTAAGCTAGAAAAATGAAAGAATGAAATTCTCTATAGTGATGTTGTAGCCCTGACACAGACAGCAAGCCAGGCATAGTTAAAATGAACTCCTTCTGGTCTTGGATGGAAGCCGCTGTGGCCTTCTGCCAAGCCAGCCTGCTCAGAGGCAAAAGCAGCTTTGTTCTGAGGTTAATGGAAATCATCATAATGGTTTATCTAAGAACAGAGCATGGGGTACTGTTGGGTGAATTTTCCTTGACATTTTCTGTTTGTGTTCTCTGTCTTTTGTACCTGTTAGAACTGTGGCATTGGTTCATCTACCTTTTGGATCAAACATCAAGACTGACAGGCTGCATAGGCTCCAAAGTAATCTGCTTTCACAGTGTCATTCACTTTATTTTTCAGCTAAGACCTTGTGGTTCAAGGTAAACATGCCAGAGGCATTTCTTTCTACCATTTTTTATGACTTATATATGTTCCGGCATAACTTTGAGGTAAGGTGTCCCTAAATGTCTCTGCTTTTCCATTGTGATCATATTCAGAAGTGGACTTGATAACTGAGCATGGTTAGGAATAGGCAGAACCCTATGTGAACATGTTCAGACTCCGAAAGTAAAAACTACATGCTTCCTTTGATTAGGAAAAACATTGCTTTGGAAATAACTCCCATGTTCTCCTTGCCTCCTGCAGGTAAGGAATCTTTCTCACTTCTGTCTTGGCTGTTGTAATGACTATTCTTGGTAGTCAAACTGACTACCTCCAGAATTAACTAAAACCTAAGAGTTGGGTCCCCTGTGAGGTTTTGAAATTAAAGACCTATCTTTAATCTGGATCATTTGGGTGATAAGATCCACCTTTAGCTGCATGGTGGGAGTGCACATCTTTAGCCCCAGCACCCAGGAGGCAGAAGCAGTTGAATTTTCTGAGTTTGAGGCTAGCCTGGTCTACAGAATGAGTTCTAGGGTTACACAGATAAACCCTGACTGAAATATACCAACCCCCCCAACAAACAAACAAACAAACAAACAAACCTCCAATCAAACAAAGAAAAAGATCCACCTTTAATCTGGATGGAACCTTCTTGTAGCAGCTGACATATGTAAAGGATATTGAAGAAGGAAGTTTTCTCTTTTTGCCTGCTTGCCCTATCTCTGGCTACTATTACTAGCATTAGAACCTACTTCTTTGGAATTTTGGTGTATAATGAAGACCAGCTGAGACATCCAGCTTAATGGACTGAACAGTTACTGTATTCTTTAAATTTCCATTGGTACGCAGCCATTGTTGGACTACCTGACCACAGCTTGTGAGACATTCTAATAAATCCGCTTTCTACATACACAGATTCATTCTACCAGTCCTGTTCATGTAGAGAACCTTGAATACTGCAGCTGTGTTTTATTTATTTATTTTTATTTTTTTTTTGTATTTTTTTTCTGACTGCCCATTGAGGAAGATGTGCTGATTAA